TACGTTACGTTACGTTACGTTACGTACGTACGTGTACGTTAGTAGTTACGTACGTAGTTACGTAGTTACGTACGTAGTAGTAGAGAGAGAGAGAGNGAGAGAGAGAGAGAGAGAGAGAGAGCTTTGTCTGCTTACAAAAGAGTTCTTTTTGGGCGGCACAGGAGAGAGATGCATAAACCAGAACAAATTGAACATTTTATAAGCGCCTCACTGAACCTCAGCAAGTCCATCACATTCAAGCGACAAGCACTTAGCCTGACTTGACTAGAGAGAGAAAGAGTTTCAAGAGTTTGCAACATACAAAACCACTGGCGCCATTAACTGCGTGGAAAAAATGTGCACCACCTAATACAAATTACAAACCCCCTTTCACTTCCCCCCTCTCCCCCACCACCATTTTCACCCATGCCTACCCTTTTCTACTCTGTACATTCCCCCTTTTTTACATATCTTAGGAGACAAAAGAAAGAAAAGGAAAAAAGGTAAGCGAAAAAAGAAAGAAAAAACATGAGTGGTGAAAAACCAGCATCTCAGTTTATTTTTGTATATAGAGAAGTTCACAATAGGATGAATACCTCAGAAACAGTCGAGATAGTGGAGGTTTCGGTTACGTCGATATTGAAGCAAACTCCCATAAGTTCGGTCCCAAACCCCAATGAATAAGGCCTCAGTATCTGGGCTGAAGGACATGCCTGAAATCTCTCCAAAAAAATCGATCTCTTGTTGCTTGCTGTAGTTGCTCTTTGTGTCATATATGTGAACGAAATCAGCAGGTTCAGCCATGGCCATGAACCGGCCATCGGTTGTGAACCGAATAGACCTCACCGCACCCAAGTTGCCCTTGAGAACAGCGAGAGAGGAGGAGAGGTTTCTGATGTCCCATACCCGACAGGTCTTGTCCTGGTTCCCAGTTGCAAAGATCCGGCCATCAGGGTGCCATGCTGACGCAAATGAGTAGTCGAGGTGGCCCAAAAGGGGTATGATTGTCTGCGCGTGCGCAGGAGAGAGAGAGATCAGTCTTTTAAAGTACATGTTTTTATCCACCACGTGAATATAGAAAGTAAACTATTAACACACAGTGAGAGAGAGAGAGAGTAAATACAATGGATACGACGTATTCTTCTTTTCTACTTTCGAGCCTTGAAGAATGAAACTGAATCTCACAGTTTCACTGAACAAACCATCTAGATAGTAAAATAAGGCAGCCATGGAGCTAAAACGATTTTGGTTAAATTTTAAATTAGTTTGTTCTCTCCTAATTTTCGACTTTCACATTTCTTTTTTACCAAATTTCTACCCTACAGGGATGAGACAATCTAGTCCTTGGATTCATGGCTCCCCTTTCTGAATGCATGAAAAGGTCCCATTATTACCAACTTACATACATTATACAGTACAGTGCCTAGCTTTACATGATTCCTAATAACCAGAGAGATCATTAAAATCCAGTTTTAGACATATTTCTCGTATGGATCTAGCTTCATGTAATCCTTTCCTGTTTGTTCCTTATCAAAATTAAATTAAATTAAAAAAAAAAAACTCATTTCCTAAAACATATGCACTAGGCACTCTCCAAGCCAATTTCTGACTTTCTTCTGATCTTGTAGGATAATAGTATCATCGGTAATCATGAAACGAAAGCACCTTCTATGTCCAAACATGAAACTGGAGACGAACAGATCCATGGAATGGCAGACCAATGGGCATCATGTCATGTCAAGGGTGTGCTCTATGTAGATTTGGCACATTGCTTCAGTTGCTCTTTCATGTCATGTCAGGTATTTTCACTCGTCTCAATTATACTAAAAAATAACCAGGTGCAACACAGAAGTATTTTCACACACTGTCTCAATTATACTAAAAAATAACCAGGTGCAAGTTATACAAAATTGGGCTACCTTTCCAGTTTGAGAATCTGCCAATATTCCATCAGGATGATCTCCAACAACAACGATAAGCTTTCCATCTGGACTAAGTGACGTATGCTGCCAAGTAAAGTCACAGCTTCATTACCAAAACCAAAAGGAAAAAGTGTCGACAGGCCAATAACTAACTGGAAATAACAAAACCAGTACAACCATAGAAAACGAAGAACTTACATTCACCGGCCATGAAAAGCGGAAGTGATTGCAAAGTTGAAACCTTTCCATATCAAAATCCCTAACTCCACAGTCATTGTTTGAGGCCATGAAATGAATAGAACCACTGAAACGAAATATCGGGTCAAACTAGTTCTCATTTATCATTGATCTAGATCAGTTAAACAGGTAGACAGACCATATACCTTGAAGTGGTATATATCTCAACTGCATTCGTGATGGCGTTCTCGTCATATGTTGTCCTGGAACAGAAGCTAACTCCAGGCCTATCCAAATACTGAAATTCAACAGGGAACATACATGACAGATACATCTGTGAGATGCTGTTTGAATCATATTCTAAGTAGCAATCCTAATATGAAACTTCAGGCAGAAGGCCAACAACCTGATAGCCCTCACCCTTGGCAATTCCTTAGCTTTAGCCTCCCATGCTTAAGGAATCTATAATTGTTATGCACGTTCTCTATTTTTCCATCTACTTCAATGAATTGCAGTTACTAATCATAAAAAAACATCAAGATTCACAAATTCTGATACTACAAACGCCTTTCAACTAATGCAATAGAACTAAAAAAAGAAGCAGGCATGCTCCTTTTAAAATAACATGACATCTGGAGTTCCAATCCTATGGTCCAAAGTTAGAAAAGAGACCAAAATCTCTATACCATACAAGCATTAAAAATTGGAAATCTAAACCATCAGTAGACGGGAACCGATGCATTTAAATGCTCAAGAACCCAGGAAATCTTGAAAGCTGAAGAAAAGAAGCAATCCTGTGATTGGTGTTGGAGAGCATGTATTTTACAATTCAAGATTTGATTGATGCAATATCACATGCATTTAGAAATTTAAATGCACATGGGTACGTGTTTGTATGTACTTGCACATGCCTATGAGTGTTTCCATGAATAAACAACAATGGAGAATTCTAAAAAGCAAGCTCTGAGAAAACTTTAATTACCTTACAAATAAGTTCTCCCTGAAAGCCACCAGCTACAAGTAGGTTATCTTTGACTGCCAGTGTGCTGACTTGAGTTTGAGTGAATCCTTCCAGTAAACTTCCCGGGTGTTTCTGCCATAACAAATAACCTCAGTTGCTGACCAAAAAAAAAAGCCAAAAGAACCCAACCTTTATAAAGGTTGATAGAGGATAGCAGGCAATAAGCATAAAAGGAATATTGATCAGGAGAAAAAAATGAAAAAACAGAAAGGAAATGGGTAAAGGCACCTCGCATGGAGCCACATGTCCTGAAACATCAAGAACTTCTGTTGTATTACAGGATAACGATGACCAGTGAAGCAATGAATAGGTTGACATGAGATACACATCATGTTTTGATGTAGCCCAAACCAAATTTCTCAGCTGTATTCCCACAAAGTAGACCATAAAAGATCAAAATACTTGTAAAAAGAAGTTTGCAAAACCTCAATACCAAATACTAACACTTCAGTTTCTAGCATTAATCACAAGGTTCAAGCAATGGCCAAAGCAAGTTTGTTTGATTTGCAGGACAGATACTTGAAATGAAATAGAAACAAACACAACTGCCGGCTAAGATTAACCAAACACACAGCATTGGTCATAACGTGATAGAATGAATAAAAGCCCAAGCTAAAACAATTTATTCATTATTGCTTATTTGCATAAGAAATGTAGTTCAGAAAACAAAACCAGCACAAAATGATTATAGGAGCACAAGTACAGGCACCACAAGTGAAGTTTGTATTGATCGAAAATATATTTGTAATATACAACTCGAATTCAAATGAGCACACCTTCCCGAAGTACGACCAATTCTTGCACAAATTTAACTCACTGAATATACACAAGCTATATCTCTTTGAAACTTTCCTTCTTTGATAGGTGGATGAAAACATAACATTAATTCATTGACTTCATTAAAAAAAAAAACAAAATTGACATGGAAGAACTAGGAAAATCCTCTTGTCTTCATGTTTGATGTAAACGGGGCCATATCAATCGTGTAGGCAAAAATCCAGTGTGCTCATCCCTCCTGCTTTTTACTACAAGACTATCATGCTCCATTCCAAACAGATGACTTCATAGTTCATACAATTGAGAAGCCTATGCATCATCCGTACCTATCTGCCTAACTACAAAAACAAATAGACCATATGATACTTCAAAATGAGACCTACAGCCTTTACAAGAATAGTGATGAAACAATAAGTACTCCAACCCCCCTAAAAAATGTGAATCACCTATCACAGCCTCCTTTATTTATGGCCTCTACACAATCATACAAAATCTCATTGAAAAACATATCAAGTCAGACTCCCTCCTTTCCCCATTATAAGGAATTGACCTAACATTGCCTCCTTTATGGAATCCTCCTAGAAAACCCTGTCATACAATAAAATTCAATGTATCACCAATCGCACCCTATTTTCTTGAAAGCCCCTCCACCAATAATTGCATATAGGGAACCACTTTCAAGATCCCAATCGCGATTATTATCATTATTGCTATGGTATAGTCCCCATAAATAACTTTGGCTTAATACTTCATATTTGGTCCAGGGGCTGCACCTGTATGGGTTTCAGCGGCAATGCCTGAATCAATACAAAATCTGCTTTTGCAATGGTATAGTCCAACTCTTCCAATTTTGTGTGGAGGCTAACTATAGCTGCCCCTGTTTGGGTAATCTGGAGTGAAAGGAATGATCAATAATTCAATTCAAAGCAGCACTCCACAAGCTGGATATTTGACAAGATAAAAGCCACCACAATATCTTGGGCAAATATAACAAAACGTTATTGGGTAATTCCACCCTGGATTTTGAAAACCAGTGGCAGGTGATTGCACAAAGCTGCTTACCTAGAGCTCTAGACAAGCTACTTGGGCCAGCAAAAAGTCTGATTACCCTTGGCATCTTTCCAATTTCTTTGCGGAAATCATTCAAATTACAAACAATATCATGGCCATTTTTAACCATGTATGAAGAGAAGGTAACAATATGGCTAATCAGCTGGCCAGAGATTGGGGGATGAAGATGTCTCTTGTAATCACACATTTTTTAATTTTATTTTGCTGACATGGTTCATTGGTACAAAGAAGGAAACTTTGAACCAAGATCACACTTGTATACCTTGATAAAAGAAAATCATCAGGTGCCAGTTTGGATGTACCCAAAATTGCAATATTTTTTTATTGCAATCCGAAAATATTGTGAAAGAGATTTAACGGTTTGCACAACTTTCAAGATTTTGTTAGATTTTTAGATTGAAATAAAAAATACTGAAGTGTCAAGGTAAAAGTTATCGTAAAAATTTTTTAAGTCGGACTTGAATTTTTTTTTATGAAAGAGTGGCTCTCTCACCCCATGCAAACCTCACCTGTGACCCCACAACTCCGTGAAACCTTAAAAACCCCAAATCTACTCTCTCTCTCTCTCAATAAACAGAGCATTTTCATTTTCTCTCTCTAAAAAACCAAAGGAACTCAAGCCCCATCCATGGCAGCCCTAGGCGGCGTCTTTGTAAAGCCATCTAAACATGTAGAGAGATAATCGAGTATCCTGACTCTCTTCAAACACATCATTTAGAAGACGAGAAACATTCCAAGAGCTCATATCAAACCTCGATTCATCGGAACAAACTCAATTCCACCCACGTTTCTAAACAATCAAAGATATCCTCCCTACAAAATCCACACTGTCCTTGATGGGTTTAACTTCTTTTCTTCTGAAAAACAAAAAACTCTCACAAATGGGTTTATCAGAAATCATATGTTCTCTCTCTAAAGAACAGGGTAACCCCAAGTTTCTGATGGATATACACTTTGCAAAGCTCTTTCTCGCAGTAAAATTGAGCCGCTCGAAGCTATAACTGAAAAAAAAAAAAGCCTCATTTCACTTCCCATTTTTCAACCTATTATTCTGTGATCCCCATCTCCTCACCTTCTACTTCTTCGTTCTCACAGTAACCACATCTCCTCTCTTTCTCTCTCCCCATCTATGGCAGCCCTAGGCAGCGTCTTTGTAAGGCCAAGGCCCTTTCTCTCTCTACAAAAGGCGAGCCTTTTCTCTCACACCACACCCATGAGAAACCCCTTCTCTTCATGAATAAGGAGAAGCTCGGGTTGCAGGTTTGCTTATTGCATGGAAGCAAATTTTTTACTACTGCGAGGGATATAGGAAAACCTTTTGGATTGGCAAGAGAATTTTGGTAAGGGCAGAATGCAACTTTGCTTTTAGTATGTTCACTCCATCCAAACAGTCCAGCATAATAATAAAAGAAGATAGCAATGTTTCTTAATTAAGAATGAAAACTATTTTTTTCCATGTGAAGGTTTTTTTATTTGACATCCAAACTGACCCTAGATCACTACAAAATGATCAACATCTTCTTCACTTTACGCAATGATGGATGCTCCTAATCCCAACTACTCCTGCACCTAAAACCCCTCCCATAAAGAACAATTATTACGAAGCTCTTTTTTAGGAAAAAAAAAGAAAAACTACATGTCCCTCCCCTTGTTTTCATCCCTCTTGCCTGCCCTTAATCACACCACTTGCACCTTAGACCCCATCATGATCCACCTTTCCTATTTTAGTAACCCAACATTCTCAATTCATATGGTATCAAATTCCTACCTTTCTTGAGAGATTAAATAATGGTAACCATGGCTTTAAATTTTGGTTTGTTTTGACCAAAGAGACCAAAGACTTCAGCATTGGCCTCTTCCTTAACCAAAACTTCATCTTGAAGCTCGTTAGCTTCTGCTTTGGGACTCGTCAGCTGCTTCAGCCTCTCTTGCCAAGAGATCTCTTCTACAAAAATCCACAAGGACAAAAACGTTTTTCTCTTTTGGTTTCAACCAAATGGGCTGGAACATTTAGGGAAAACTATTCGGCCTCAGATAAACTAACTCTGCTAATCCAACTATGATAAGTTCCAACAACCATCAACTAAAAAAGAGCATCGTAAAGCATTCTAATCTTGACAACTCTTGAAAAATGACTAACACACTGTCATCTCCACTATCCTAAACTTTCACCACTTGACCAAAGGCCATCACAGGTCCCTCAAAGAATAAAGATCTAATTTATCAGACCCATTTAGACATTTACCTCCCAAATGAAAACAAAATATTGACTACAAAGTAGCACAAAGTTCATGTATAGACATAGAAATGAGTGGAACAAAAATTTTAGCCACAACATGGACATGAATGCAAGACAAATAATGAATGGAAAGTGACGATCACAATACTTTTCTATATACAAAAACCATAAAAAAAATTTCAACCCTGCTGAAAAAGCAAATTAAATATTCAAAACCAACATAATAAGGCGACTAAAATACTATTCAAACCATCATACTTCAGAGCCAAAGATGATGAAATATAAATATCCAGATTGCATAGATTTATATTTAAAGGATACTGCATGCCATTAACTGTATGTGTCCAGTTCAAACATGTTTCTAGTAACCTAAATACGATTCAGAACTTCCACAAAATTTGGTCTTGTACACCATTGTTAGAAAAACCAGGCGATCTAACTACTAACCACCCGGTTAGATCGGAACCGGCGCCAGTTCCGGTTTTGGCGGTTTTGGTGATCGACCGGTATTTAAAAAAAAAAAAATCAAAAGAGTGTATATAAATTCCCAAAAATAAGGAATTTGATTTTTATTGCATTTTTTAATATTCTTTATATTGTGGTAAAGATTAAAATTTGTTTTTGTCATTAATACTCACTTTAATTCAAAAATCGATTCGTTAAAATGTATTCTTTCATTTCTCATTAATTTTCAACTTCATTCGAATGTGTTTAATTTAATCATTTTTTATATGCTTTTCATATTTTAATAGATTTTTATTTTTATATCTTTTTTAATTTTTCAACACTTTTTTGACCGCCCGGTACATGCCCGGTTAGAACGATTGAATCGGCCGGTTTATCGGTTAGGCCGGTTAAACCGCTTCCGGACCCATGTCCGGTTAACCGTTCAGGTTTGATTTTACGAACACTGTTGTACATTTCCATTCTATTATTGATGTATCAAAGACTAACTCAAGGGATATTCACAAATGTGAAAACAAAGAGAAATCTTACAACGGGCCATGAAAATGATGAACTTCCAACGCTCTGGCTTAAGAACCTATAAGTGGAGTTTAAAACTGATCTCAGCAAAGGACATGACCTAGCCGTTATCTCTCTCGTTTTTTTTTTTTCTTTTCTTTTTTTTTTAAGTATTAGTGGTGGTTATGGCCTAGGATGTCATGTTGAGCCAATACCCAAGTCATATTAAGTTTGCACTAGGTAGTTACTACTTAATAAATCTTAACTTCTTTTTGAGAACTTCGCATTAGGGTAACCAAATCCCCCTGCGTTTTCCCACCAAAGTTTTGCAAATCAAGTAATATCTACAACGAGTGGAAGGAAAATAAAATCTTTAAAAAGGGACAAAAATACATATATGGGATCTCATTACCTGGAAATGAAGAATGGTAGACTTCACAGATCTTGTGTTGTGCCAAAAATCATAATATTTGTAACCTTTCTCGGTTTCTTTGCATGCCTGCATGCAAGCAAAGCATGGAAGATGATAAATAACATTAATATATACGCATGTGAGTACGTATGTGCATATCAACCGATCTTGGTAGAACATATATACCTTCTCTATTCCCTTGCCAGATTGGGGGATGTTCTCATAATTTTTGTATTGTTCCAACCTAGTTTGCCGATACTTCTCCCTAGTTATATTTAGCCTCTCCCATGGGATACCCTGAATATCCTTTCCCTTGCGGGCTTGTTCTGAAGATGTATCTGTTACCCTAGTGAGCTGCACATTCATTCACACCTTTTAGTATCTAATTCTATCTTTCACCACCACGAAGAACATCCGTTCAAGTGGTCTTTGATGAATAAGCCATCACTCAAAAGAAGAAATTCAGAAAGCAAAGGTTATAAAGGTCTTGTTTTGTCTTGGACAAGTAACACATGTTGAGAAAAAAATATTTGGTTTCTAGCGCAGCTACTACAAGAATAGATCAAAGCCACAACTGCTACATTACTTAGACGAGTTATTTTAGCAACTGCCCAAGAACTGTAGAACTGTGGCAAGTTTTTAATGGACTACGTGAGTCCATCAAAATCTGTCAAGTACAATGCTGACAGTTAAATATAGAAAAGGAGCCGGGGGAAGGAAAGAAAGGGAATCTGTGCCCCTTTTAACTTCATTTATCACCCCATGAACACCAATTTGAGCCCAAACTCCACTGAACTTAGAGAACATCATAGTGTTTTAGGGAGAAAACTATTTTCTCACTCACCAGCATTGAGCGAAGGAAGAAATTTTTAACTTACTTATATGGTTGAGTATTTTTAGTTTAAGTCAGTTATGATTTAACTGGCTAGAACTTGGTGAATCATACACAACATGACTAAAAACCAGACAAGGAACAAAAGGAAACAGACTAAAAACAGAAGAATGAATGAAACTCAAGAATCTAATACAAGCGACAGAAGACAGAACTGACCATGTCATATTCATCATCAGATTCTGATTCACCGGAACCTCTGCCACAAAATTCATCATCTATATCATCCTCATCAGCATCAGCCATTTCATGGTCATCAGCAGGGTACTCACACTCATCCCCTCGGTATTGGGACATGTTATAAGCTAGCTAATTTACACCTCTGCAAAGAGGCGCAATTAGGGAGAATCAATAAAGACTAGTAACACACACTTAAAATACCCCAATGAAGCATTTTTTAATAGAAATTTTAATGAAATTAAGAACATGAATCTATTAATGAAGGTTGCAGTGATGGTAATAACTTACTAAAAAAAATGATGGTTTTGATGATCATAAAATAAAGGGTGCAGTTGGCATACGGATGCATCCGTAGCTGTAAAGGTAAGGTGCACCTTCAAATTTTATCATGGTATATAATTTTGATGTAAAATGTTCTTGGGATTATCTCAAAATCTATTTTTATATCTAGTTAAAAAAATTTAAATTTCAAAAATGGTTAAAATCAAGTAGATCTATAGATATATGAAAATCTTGAAAATGGACAGAGTAGATAATATGTAGTATGAGACTTAAAATCTTTTTATTTTTCATGGTCATACATCTCGATGTCGAGATGATCAATCAAAGTGTTTTTCAACATTAAAACTGTCTTTTCCGATCGATTTTTGAGGTGCATCCGTAGCTGTAGAGGTAAGGTTGCAACCTTATATAAACTTTTTCCCAAAATAAATAAACCAAAAAACAAAACTTTAAGCAGAAACAAAAAGAAAGGTAAAAATATATCTGTTGTGTTCCAAATGACACTTTGCAGGATTATGATTCTTAAACTGATAAAAAATGTTATGCTTGGTAACCAACAATTTTCAAATGAAAGAAAGGGCCATTCTCTCAAAAATTAAAGAAAATAACAGAAAATGGGTAGAATCGATGGGTTGAACGCATTCTTAACAACATAACCAGAAATGTCCATCAAAATAACAATAAAGAAATATTCAATAAACAGATACTTGACCATATTTCTGCTCGACAAATGTAAATTACATACAAAAGGATGGAGAAAAAAAAGGAGCAAGTACCCAATGTAAGAACCTCAGAAATAACAAAGAAAAAAAGAGCAATGACAGCAACAAAAGAAAACTTCCACCAAAAATAAATGAAAACCTACATGATTTCATGGGTAAAGTAAAAAGAAAGACATAATTATAAAATTATTATCTAAAAATTTTCAATAACAGGATTCAGAAAAGAGAGATACACCAAACATTTCCCCCTGTAAATCACATTAACAAACATCAATTTGTACTGTAATAATACAAATCAAAAGGCCTAAACTTTTGTCGTAAATCCAATACCTACTATATAAGGATCTAAGCTACTCATAAATCCACATGCAACAGAAAAAATAAAATTAGGCGCCTCTGTTAATTATTAGCCTCAATTTACCCAAGTAATCATACTATTCAAACAACTAAAAAAAAATGAAAAAGAAGTATGCCCTTTATACCAAATAAAAGGCCTAACGCCACGAATTGTTCAAGCCGAATGATAACCTTTTTCATTTCTGAATCACTCTAAATAAATAAATTTACGAATTCAACGGATAAAAATACTCTTCGGTTAAATAAGTAATGACACAAATAAATACAGTAGAAAACCACAAAAATAATGAAACAAAATTTGTTACCTAACCTTTTGAGAGGCTGTTCAAAATTTGCAGGTGTCCAGATCTCTCTGACAACCTGGTTTTTTGGCCGGAGCCAACAAATTACGGCGAAATATTGACCGCTTTCCGGCTCGACGAAAAGGGACAAAAAGGCGAAATCAGAGAGAAAAAAAAAGGGGGTTTCGTGTTTATATCGAGAGAGAAAGAAGAGAGAGAGAGAGAGAAGGAAAGGCACCGGCTTTTGTGACACCGCCCCGACCGATAAATATAAATATTTTAAAAATGAAAAATTAAAATGGCAGGATAAAATTAAAGAGTGCCTCCTTCCAAATGCCCCTCTACAACCACACTAATTTCGATAATAGCCTCGTATCTTTGGGTAGGCTTGTTTAGTAGGCACCATTTATTACCACCCGGTTTTTATGCGGCCAAGCCCGGCACATGTAGAAATACGGGCGTCCTAATAAATTTATTTTAAGAAGGATTTTAAGACTTAATTTTTAAGGACATGTGATTTCTATCGTGAATAAGAAAAAATATAAATGATAATTTTAATAATAAAATATTTGAACAGTTAGTTTTCATTGTTTTTAAATGGAACACCTACTTGCATCTATCTTTAAGATGGATCTTTCACCCTTTCCAAACTGCGTATGTAGAACTACGGTACAACCCCCATGAAACAAATTTCCTTATATATTGTGAGATTGTTTATTTTTTATACCAGGTCACAATTATTCCTTCTTTATATGTCAAATTGATTGGTATGGTTGTTATAAGGTTGAGGCCCTAAACAACCATAATGAGGTGTACCTTTCAATAGTATTGAAAGATGTTGATAGATTGAAATTCTATTTTCATATCTAATCATAAAATTTAAAGCCTCAAAAAAATAGTCTAAAATAATGTAAATCGAGGATATATGTGAACTCTTGAAAATTGATAGTCTAAAAAATGCATTACTTGATGTACTGTTTTCAGGACTTGAAATCCATTTTTTCTCATGTCCATTTATCTTAAAGTCAAGATGATCGATTTGAAAATTTTTGAGCATCGAAAGAACTTTTTCTAATAAATTTTTGAGGTGTCCCTTGGTTTGATTATTTAGGACTTCACCCTTATATGAAACTTTTTTCCAAATTGTATAGTTTGGGATGTACCGGGAAGTTTTTTAAAAAATTTAACTTTAATTCCAGCCAATAGTAATTTTATAATTTTTTCCTATTGTTTAGTGTATATAGTACCTACTGATACTGTTGATTTAATTTTATATATTAAAAAACTTGCAAAAGAAAAACATGGGGTAAAGTTTATACGAGGCATTGACCTTTGTACACTGCAAAAATCGACTGGAAATTTTTTTTGTGATATTTTCACCTCATATTTATTAATTTTGAGCTCAAAAAAAGGGTGCAGTTCTAATGAACTTTTAATAATCAAATTAAGATATTTAAGGGCTACAAAGTAAAGGTAGCGTAGAGTTTATTTTTTTCAACTTCATAATTATGATAGTCTACATATAAGTATGATAGTCTATATGATAGGTCTGCAAATTTTGGATTCAAAATCCATTTCCAAGATGAATTTTGGAAGGGTGAACTAAGCATAAACGTATGAGATGCGTCTAAATCACAAAGTCTCATTTTTATCTAGGGCATGTTTGTTTCATGTACAAATATTTATTGAGAAATATTTTCACGTGAAAGAATTCCACTATATAGTTAGTTATGAGAATAATTTCACACCAATTAGTCCTAATGCATCTTTTCATATCAATTGACAACTAATTGGTATGAAATTATTCTCACAGCTAACCACATAAAGAAATTTTTTCAAGTGAAAATATTTTTCGAAAAATATTTTCACGTCAACCAAACATGCCCTCAAATAACATAGGTTTTGGGTAAAATAAGAGAAAGCATAACATCAGCACTACTCAACATAGGTGTATGGAACTTGGTGCATCACATGGGTACCAAGTATTTGTTGCTGCATATTTCCTTGGATGTAATTAATCTCCACAGTTTACTATTAGCAACTGAGGGTGGATGTCCCTCGGTACTGTGTCATATACATTTGCCTTAAATCAAAGAGAGGATTTCTATGAATTGGACATGGAATTGATTGGTTAGCCATTGATTTTAGCAATGCTACATCTCAAGTTATATTTCTACCCCATTAAAAAAAAAAAAAAGTTTATTTGCTTTTGTGAAACGATTTTAGTCAAAACAACAGAAAAGCAATATTATTTATAAGGCTTTTTTATTTTGGGGGGCACTCAATGTGTTTTTTGAATAATAACTATGAACAAATATCAGGAAACTCAATAAAGGAAAATTGTTTGATCCAGCCATCTCAAAATAAGTAAACCTTCACCTCATAACGCATGAAAATTTGCAATTAAAGCATTAGAGAAGCTTTACATCGATTATCTCGGCTTCAACATTATAGTAGTGAAAAAAAAATTAGGATTTCAAGCTCTTAATATCATAACAAATTATTTAAACCATCTATTTTGCCCTAAAGTAATTATTCACATATCCGCAAGATATGTACCATTTTTTTAGTTCCAAATTTTATTGTTGGTGTTGGAAATTGATTTTAGAACCATCATGGAGATTTCTGTCGCCGAAAGTGTTTTCCTGATGAGGACTTGAGATGAGATTTATTTTATTTTCATAAAACCTTTGCCTTATAGAAAGTTCATGGAATGTTGAAAGTGGAGCATGAGAATTAAAAGATAAAATGATTGTGCAGAAATCATGCTTACTTGTGATTCCTTGTCATCTCAACATGGACAGTACCACTGTTCGAAGGGCTGATGGCCTTGCCTCGTGGGTGCTTCGTATATTCTTCTAAGCCCAAAGATTTTCTACTTCAGGGGGAGTATATTGTCCATCTACTCCCTCAGACAAAACTAACTAGTAATATTTTTTCGAGGAAAAAGTTCATATAAGGCTTTTTTTTGGTAATTAAAAGTTTTATACAAGATACGAACATTATATTGTAGTAGCAAGGCGTACCTCAAAAATCCATCAAAAGATATTGTTTCGATACCAGAAAACCCTCCAATTGATTATCTTAACCTTGAGATATATGGGCATAAAAAAAATGATTTCAAATAATGTAAATAGTGTAACACATTATCTGGACTGTCCATTTTCAAAATTCTCATGTATTTACAAATCTACAAGATTCTCAAGTATTTACACAAAGGTTTCTAGGATCAAAACTACATTTTATGACACAATTTGGAGGCGTGCCTTACTTTTATTGCTTAAGGTTAATGTTTTATATAAACCACACTTTTTTTTAGATTCCAAATGTTAGGATGCAATCTTTAGAACTAGGGACCAACCTCACCAAAAAAAAAAAAGCACTCTTTAAATTTCTCAAAGCCATCCACTACTTGGAGGGAAAGATCTAGATGTTCAAGAAGTCAAAATCCCAATATTTTTATTTGATAATAATCATTTAGTGATATTGAGATGGATCTCAAACTTGGACTCAAAAATAAAATAAAACCCAAGTAGTTATTTTGCCCGAGGGAGTTATTTTACATTATGCTCCCATTAAGAGCATGCTACATGCACTCTCCTTCCAAATATGTAATAATTTCCTTAATAAATAAATAACCATGTTATGTGCTATTGAAGAAGAAATTGTACATGAGTTCCCTCGGGCAAAACCTTAATTAGGACTCTAAACCTTGGGGGATCCGAGTTTTTCGATCTTGCAAACAACCTAAAAATATTAATAGAATATGCACCTTGGATTAGCCTAAAAATAATAATTGATGCTCTAGGATAGGATATATACCATTGATATTTTGAATTGTCATAGTGGTGATTAGGTATTCAATATCTTTTTTTTTTACTTTTGCAAAATACATGTGTAACATAGATGTACATGTCTGCAGTACGTGGCATGCGTCAACTATTAAGAGTACGAATTATATTTGACATTTTAGAAATTTAGACGTTTTTTATTAATATTTTATTATAGAAATCTCTTATAAAAGGTTATTCATGTCACCTAAAATTCCGCCTCCCCTTTTATCTAAATCATATATGTATCCGGAAGGCTAACTTTGGGGTTGGGTCTCTCGGACTTGTATTAACATCAGATGTTGTTGAGACATGTATCCATGCTTTTATGACATAGGATAATAAATTTAAATTAGATCCCAAAAATTTGATATTACAAAGACCCTTCAAATATGCCAAAGCAAATGGTTTTCTTGGCTCTCAGATGAGCGTAGTAGATTATGAATAAACTGGTGAAAAATGTAGAGGATGGTGTATGAATTGAGAAAATAGAATTCATGCGCTGGTGATCTTGGAAAATATATGGAGGTGGTGGCTAGGGATGATAGTACGTTGGGCGGCTAGGGCTTGGGCCACAAAACCCGAGAGCCTGGCCATGATAGGGCTAAGCCAGTCAACTCTATTTTCTTTTTCTTTTTAATTTTGTTATCTTTGTCAATGGAATTTGAAGCTCCTATAATGGTGAAGATCTATGGACTAGTAAAGATTTAATGGAGCTATTAAGATTATTAAAAAGTGTGTTGTAGTATAAACCATGTTTAAGGCTTGAAATTCTTTTTTTTATTCATCTCCATGATTTTCAAGATCAAAATGATAATTTTGGAGATTTATATCCATTATTTTCAATATCAAAATGATCAATTTAGAGATTTACCAGCAGTGGAATTATATTTCCCAACAAAGGTGGCTTTATAAAACCACGGCCCGAGAACATAGTTTCCCTTTGTTAATATCCCTTTATTTTGATGTTTTGTACCAATGACATATTTTTAAAAAAAAGAAAAGAAATGAAAAATAGACAATTAGAAAATTTAGAGATAATTTTTAAATATTACTGAAATAAACAAACACTAACATTGATTTCCCTAGAAGTAAATACGAAAAATAAAAGTTTTCTAGAAATATTGGGTATTTTGAGAAAGTCAGTTTCTAGCGTTCACATTCCAGAATCAAGGCATAGAGAAAAGTGATTGTCTACGAATACATACCATTTACCTTTTGGATGGTTTGGGGTGAGGTCCAAGATTTTTTTTTTAATTTTTCTTTTTTTGTCTATTTAATAACACTCTCACAGGTACCCATTTTGAAATTCAAGTGACAAGAATGATGGCGAACTTCGTGTACAAAAGATAAATGGTATCTTTGTAGACAATCCCTAAAGAAAAAGGGTGGAGTGTATA